TTTGGGAAAAATATATAAACTGATTTGGGAAAAATATATAAACTGATTTGGGAAAGATATATAAACTGATTTGGGAAAGATATTTAAACTGATTTGGGAAAGATATATGAACTGATTTGGGAAAGATATTTAAACTGATTTGGGAAAAATATATAAACTGATTTGGGAAAAATATATAAACTAATTTGGGAAAGATATATAAACTGATTTGGGAAAATATATAAACTGCTTTGGGAAAATATATAAACTGATTTGGGAAAGATATAGAAACTGATTTAAGAAAAATATATAAACTGATTTGGGAAAGATGCAGTCGGCGCCGCACATATTAATTCAATGAAGATGACTTTCGATTTAAATTTTTATTTTTTTCAAGCTTTTTAACAGCATGGAAATACTTAAGCATGGAAAAAGTCGTCTTAATTGTATGTATATCGCCAACCACTGTATATAAACTGAGCTATGAAAAATATATAAATTGAACTAGGAAAAGTATATAAACTTACACTTAAGCCGGGGCTCATTTGAAACCGGTTTTTGGGGGATTTGAGACGCGGCTTAAAATCATTAAATTTGGAAACTGAACTAAGCCAGGAAAGTGATGGAATAAGCTAAACTGGTTTAACTTGTCAAAAAATAACTATTTTCGCATTCTAAACTCAGTGAGTTAAACTCAATCGCCTATTTAAAATTTCCCAGCTTAGAATAAATTAGATAAAAGATTAAGTGGCAACTATTAAAACTTAATGATGTGCAAACGAGAAAATTGTTAAGATATTAATCTTATTTTTGTCTTTATATTTTTTAGCAAGTTTAAAATTTTTAATAAGTTAATTTTATGAAGGATTTTAGAAATGAAAATAAAAATTATACCCCTTTTTTGATCTACTTTTTCTCCAAATTTATGCATTTTCGCTTCAAAATTCAGCAAAAAAATATAAAATCATTTTTAAAAACATATTCTTCCATTGGCTTTTCATTCAGAGGTGTATATTTTTCAGAATTATTCGCCCCCGCCCCCTCCCTGGGGCGGGGGATGATTTTTGATAATTTGGAAGGGAAAAAATGAAAAATGTGTTATATACAGGCAACTTTTTGATACTTTTTACCCCAAAATTCATTGATTTTCCCAAATTCAACAAATAAACCCTAAAAAATTTGTGCGCAAGCATAATTGGGGGGAAATATTCCCACAACCTCTATTTTTGGAGGTTTTCAAATATTTTCTCCTTAAACTCTTAATTTTTTATGTTTTTGTTATATTTCATAAATAAATTACTTACTTACATACATACTTAACTTCTGTAAGGATAAAAAATGATTTGCAAAAGGGGGCGGGGGGGAGAAATCTGATTTTTCAAGAAAATATACACCCCTGTTTTAGTTTGTAATTACGGTTCTAAGAAGATGTATATTTACCGTCGTCTTCGTGTTAGATATCTGTTAAAATGGAATTCCTTCTCTAGTTCTAGGGTCTGGTAGCGAGTATAAGAGGTCCGTTGACGCTTAGTTTCACCGTTTTGATTAACTGCATCTGAAATTAAATAATCAATTAGTTTAAACCATATTATCGACGAAAAATACTGTAAGTGTAATTTTAGTTACAAAGATGGCAATGCACGATTCACAAATATACCCTTAAAACATTTATCTTATCAAAAGTGTGGACGATACCAAGGTTATAGTCAAGGAAAGTTATTTCAGAGGTGTACGCATCTTTTGCACTGCAGTGTACGGTCACTGGGCGGTAATGTAAACACAAGACGGATGTCGAAGCTTGACATGGGATCCATCTTTCACATAAATAATCAATAAAATAAGCTGGTCATAGGAAACTATTATGTGAATTATCAAAATTATCAAAATTCAATGCTTTTAACCTCCTCGGATACTAAACGAACACTGATGCATCTATTCTAGTTTACAAATTCCGCCCAGAGAGAACTGGTTTCAATATGTACGCAGAGTATACGCAACTGCAATTAACTTTCCTTTCATTACATTCTTGGACGATACCGTCTTTTTCTGATTTGAAAACTGTTAACTTTGGTGAGTTTCTCCATTGCTTCATAAGAAATGCGCAAGTCAGTTTCGCAAAGAAATGCGCGAATAAAAAAAGACTGTCTTAAGAAACCAAAAAATCAAAAACTAATTCCTATTTGATCAGACTAAGCTTTCAAGGGTACCGTTGTAAATCGGGCATTGTAATTTTCACTTAAAATTACGCTTACAGTTCCTGTAAGAAATTCACAAAACTTCATAAAAAGAATAATAAGTTATTAAATATTCTGAAAACAAATGGTTGATTCAAAATAATGTAAGTTCTTAAATTATTATCTCAATAATAAATAATTGAAATTGAATCAATAAAAAGTTTTAAAAAGTTGAATTTGATTAAACCCGACTTCAACTTCAACCATAGGATCAATCAATGACATTTGTCGAAAACCAAACCAAACCATTAATTTTAATTTTTTTGGTCAAACCACACACATATGTATAATGAGATTTTTTTTTTCACGTTACATTAATATGTCTGTTCGTCTGTCTATTTATACATTGTCTGTCAGTTTTATCTGTCTTTGTCTGATTGTCTGTATGTCTGTCTATCTGTGTTTAAGACCAAGTATTTCTGTTATAAGAAGATTTATAACTTTGGTTCTGATTTATTTACACATGGTCCACTGTGTATGTCTACATGCAACAAGAGAGGGAAAAAAGACTGAAAATTCGAACTATAAAGGTATAAATCACAACCCCGCTGTAACTTGATAAATAAAATAATAAAAAAATATCAAATAAATAACCTAACAGGGTTATATATTTTATGAAAAATCATACCCCTCCCCCCAGCTAGTAGGCATGGTATGTCTGCGCCAAAAAAAAGAAAATTTGCTGAATTGGGGACAAAAAGCATTTTTTTTTGGATCAATTGTGTCTAAATGAACGAAAATGGGGGGGGGGTGCTAATTGTTGAAAATTTACGAATTTACTAATTGAAAGGTATTAAAAACTGTTTTTTTCAAAATCTGCCCAACCTGTGCTTTTTGGGTAGACCTCTTCATTTTCAGGTCTTTTTAAGACCTTTCTATCTATCTATCAATTTATCCATCTATCTATATATCTATCAATCTATCCTAGTATTAATATTCTATGGGGTTGAGTATATAGAGCTGAGTATAGAAGTTGATCCAACCTTTCAACTCTGAGAATGAATTTTATACTACTGATTCGAAATTAAGTCCCACTTAAGCCCGGAAAACTAAGTTAAGTTTGCTGCAAGCGGTTCAAATTTCCGTCTCCGTAGAGTTGATCCAACCTTTCATCCCAGAGAGAAAAATGATCTTATCACTTTCTAGAGATTCCCCAGATCCACACAGATTGGTTGGTCAGTGTTCCAGGGGCGTTCCAGGGGAAGGGGTCATTCTCTGAAAGGGGTGACACGGTCCAGGGACTTCCTAGGGGGAGGGTTAATTTTTCGACAGGGGTGTCACAGTCCAGGGGTGTTCCAGATTCTACTATAGGGGTGTCACAGTCCAGGAGCGTTCTTGGGGGAGAGCTCATTCTCCGGAAGGGGTGTCTCGGTCCAGGGACTTTCTAGGGGGAGGGTTCATTCTTCGACAGGGCTGTCACAGTCCTGGGGTGTTCCAGATTCTACTATAGGGGTGTCACAGTCCAGGGGTGTTCCAGATTCTACTAAAGGGGTGTTACAGTCCAATTGGGCATTCCAGAGGGTGGGGGGTCATTCTCCGAAAGGGTCGTGAGAGTTGCAGATAGGGTAACATTGGTTAGATACAGAGCTATCAGTTAAAATTGATGAAAAATAGGTATACTATAGAATACACCCTGTATATTTACTAAATACTATAGAATACACCCTGTATATTTACTAGATACTATAGAATACACCCTGTATATTTACTAAATACTTTAGAATACACCCTGTATATTTACTGAATACTATAGAATACACCTTGTATATTTACTAGATACTATAGAATACACCCTGTATATTTACTAAATACTATGTACAACATCCTGTAATGTCTAAATGGAGTTGAACACGAAAAGATACCTTATAACAAACAAACAGAACATACGGACACACAACCTTGGTGCTAGTTTAGAAAATCAATAAATGAACAACTAGATATTGGATAGGCATATATACTAGACTAATAGACAAATATACATTTTCTTAAAATAAATTTATAACTGATTGATTGATAGCTAATTAAGTAGATAGATAGATAAGTAGTTCAAACAATATTTCTATAGGTAAATACCTAAATAATTAGTTGTGTTGTAAGCTGAAAAAGTTTTTGAATAGAATAAATACTATAAATACACTGATGTTCTAAATTAGCCGGAATAATATGAATTGATTGATAACTTCAAAGTCGCTTTTGATCCTTAGAAATGGTTTGCGGCATTTCGTTCCTAACGATACATTTTCATGGTTTTATTTAATGCATTGAAATTTAAACCAAATTCTTAATATTTCTGGTGTTTTTGAGAGCAAATATTTGCCAGACCACATTTTGAAAATCGCAGGATCAGGTCTATGTTTTGACTATTGTTTCCTAAAAAATATTGCTGAAATCAAGTTACCTATGTTGAATGCCGCAAACTTTTTTAAGTTAAAAGACGACTTTAAAGTTATCAATCAATTTATTCCGGCTTATTTAAAATGTCATTGTATATATTATATATATGGAAATGGAGATAGGTGGATAGCTGGTATTATGGCACTCGTTAATTTTGATGCATCAATGAAACAATTATGTTAAATCACATTTTAATTAAATCATTAATAAAGTCGTCACTATTCTCTCCAATTTTGAATCCTTTCAACCGGAGTCTAGCCACCAGTATAAGAAGGAAGATATATATATATATAAGAAGTAAGATATATATAAATAAGAAGGAAGATATATATAGAAGATGAAAGATATATATATAAAAAGGAAGATATGTATATAGAAGAAGGAAGATATATTTTGACCCTTGATGATGCAGATACAGGGAGAAGATGAATTGATGTCCAGAATCCATACTTAGACACAATACATACACACATACACACACACACTTTAACAGACAAAAACTTACCCCCCCCCTCCCCACTCACTTGATATTTTTTAGAAAACTTTGATGAAATCTGAAAATAATCATTTTTGGATCGGCAGAGATAGACAACTTTGAAAATTCTTATCACTTCTATACAACTATTTGGGATATTATTCTATCCTATTCTTGATTCTTACGTCTACCTGAGCTATACTCCGCCCCCCCCCCCCCCA